TACAGTATTACAGTTTCACCAAATAAAGAATCATGATGGAAATCACCTGAAGAGCACATCTGATCCATTCCAATTATCATAGCAGAATATCAATTTGAAAAAAGGGGGCTGGGAGCTGAATACTGAGTTACAGCCTATGGTATCTTACATAAGAAACTTTTCATGGAATTCAGATATTTCTGAAATTCCTAAATCAAAAAGGTAAACATTAATATGGACCGTACAGACTAGAAAGGTCAACATTTTGTAAAGCTACCATAAGTCCAAGTCATTTGAACGCTTTGTCACACATTTCTGATTGTCCGATTTTCTCTTCATATTCTAGGAAAGGGATTAACTTTCCAGGGTAAACTGAAATCCACTTTAAAGTGTCTATTGGAGGAGCCAGGGACTCCCAGTGCTTTAAAATTCATAACTACTACTCATGTATTATAACTTTTAAGTGTAAACTAAGTTAGAACATTGCAAGGAGGAAGAGGTAATGATGAACTAAGGAAAGGTTAGATTCTGGTTGAGAAAAACAGCTTGAATTACGATGTTTCACACAGTAGATTGCCTCTGCCCTCTAATCTTTTTTTTTTTTTATGGGCAAAAGGATCTCAGAAATATCTTACGTCTTCAGTTATGAAAAATGTCCAATGTACCCATTTAAATCAAATGGACGTGAAATGTCTTGATATAGACGTAATTCATAAGTTACTAAAGAAAACATCACATTAAAACTATTCTAGAATTATAGGACAAATACAAACTTTCTAGAATGCATGTTCCAAGTCCTGTCATTATTCTGTACCATCCATTACTGCAGCTTCTTTCTTACCCTTTCTGTGAAGAACAGGGAAATGTTTTCTTTAAACACACATCTGGAATTCCCCTCTACTCCCACCTACATAATGTTCTTTCTCTTATTGAAGGTATCGACTAGGAAACTGCTGCATTGTATATGGTAAAATGATCCATAAAAGAGTTAAAGTGTGCAAATATTTGTTAAAAGGTGGGTGATGACAATGAAAAAGATGCTATTTAGGTATTATTTATTTGAAATAACATATATAACCACTAGATGTCTCTCTTTCTCAGGCAGCACGAGGACTTTGCCAAGGGTGCAGTATCTGTCTGCAGCTAGACCACAGCATTTTAATTGATGCTGTCCATATGGTTTCCAGCTATAATACTGAATAATTTAACAACAAAAACAAAGTCTCTCTAAAGTTCTGCAAAAATGGAAAAGATACAGGTGATAGAACTTTTATTAAACACAGTTAACAAACTGAAAGTGCAGACCTAACAATTGAAATACAGTTACTTACTGTCAATAGAATTAGTGTAAATTCTAGAACTTTTGAAAATCAAGCTGTATATGAACTCCACACTATAATTGTTATTTGCAAGTAAATATCCTTCCCCTAATTTTCAAAGTAGCTTTATTTACTGAGCCTCATAAAAATGTTTATAGAATCAGTCTTATTTAGTGTGTTATTTTGATATTTCAAATCTTTTCATTTCCTCTAAAATTTTCCCATGGGTGTTGTATGATTTGTAGATGCATAAAGAAGTAAAATACCACAAAACATGAAGTAAGGCAGAAAACTGCCTTCTTATCATAGACAAAGGGCATTTTATCTGAAAATAGCTTATCCTTGTCTTATACAAGATTACAAGATCATATTCCTACAGAACTTTAATTCTTTAATGAAAATCAACCACAATACATGAAACTAGGTTTGGAAGAGTGAATTAAGCCTAGAAATGGATAGTACTGGAGTTAGTCACTCTGACATCACATTGAAAGAAGCTTTAGGAGTGTGAAGAAATATACAACAAATGGAAAACATTTAATAGGGTACCTTCTTGACCATAGCTATGCCATGTTAAAGTTTAAGCTGACTCTAGTCTTTGAAATTATTAGGCAGTTGGCCCAGGGTATGGGAACACATGTCAGCTGGACCCCGGTTGTCTTGGGAACAGGTCAGAGTGTCCTGCAGAGCACCTGCTAACTGCAGATTTATGGCTTCTGTAGGTTATGCTTGGCTTGCTTCTGTAAAATAGTAATTGTTCCCTAATAGAATAGAAATTGTTAAGGGGGCTTTGCACCTGTAAGCTTGGGAACTTAAACTTTTCACACCTGGTTATGGTTTCTCTGTATAAAAGCTTACCCTAGAGATGGCTGGCGCTACACACTTGGGTTCCAATACCCTTGTGTAGTAGCCCTTGCCAGCAACAGCTTTCATGCAGCAAAACTTTGTCCGAGTGGTCTTCTCTGGTGAAGCATCACACACAAAAGTAAAAACCAGGGTCTTTTGGAATGCAGCTTTTCCACTTAAGTATGACTTAAACCCCATCCATCTGCAAAGCTGACTGGCTAAAATATAATACATTGTATTTCCAACTGTTAAGTCATGACTTCTACAAATACAAAATGAGCAACAAAGAAAGATCTCATCTTCTAGCACGGTTGGTGATAGGGTTCTGGTCCTGGTGACCCCAGACCCAGAAACCATAGGCCCCTAGAAGGAACTAAATCAGCCAATTACCAGCCACCTGCATGCCCCAGGAACTGGTGACCCAATGCATTGTGATCAACAAAGCATGACCAAGCAGGTTTCCCAAGCCCTGTAGCTGCAGTGGGTTCCTGGAACCCCATAATTGTAGAAAACATATTTTACAATAGATGTTTTCCTTGATAAATTTCACCAGGTACAGACCCCACACCCTCCCTGAACAGCCCCCAAACAGCCCCAAACAGCTGAAAAATATTCTTTTTTTTCCTCACTCTTTTCCATTTATAAGCTTCCCCCCTGCAGCCATTAGGCTGCTGATTTTACTCACTCCTGAGTTGAGATCCAGCCCCACTAACCCCAAAATAAACTCTCACTTTGCCAGAGTCCTCTCTGTTTCTCTTTTGGAGCGATCCTGATACCTGCCACCTTTTTTATCTAACAGTTGGCATACTAGTAATGAGGCACAAGGGGGCTAAGGCAGAAGTATTGTGATTTCCAAGCCATTCTAGAAGGAAGGAAGGAAAGAAGGAAGGAAGGAAGGAAGGAAGGAAGGAGGGAGGGAGGGAGGGAGGGAGGGAGGGAAAGAAGGAAGGAAAGCATTCATTAGTTTAGTTCTATTTGACTTAATAATTATCAGGTTAGCAGTAGGTGGCAAGGCCAATAGGAAAGAGAATTCAGGGAATGGAGATTCACCATTTGCTGTTCACAGGCCTACTGAAATTGGTGACAGATAAGAAATATGTGATGTCCCAGGTCAGAAATATAACCGTTTAGGGGATATCTTTCTTATTGAGAAAAATGATTTTGATTGGGGAAAATGCTACATGTTGGAACACAAATTCATTGAGAATCAAAAAAGCACCCAGGGCAAGTACTAAATAAATATCAAACAAATATGAAATAATGTCCTAGGGAAATTTTTTCCTTTATTTCTCAAATTTGGGTTTTACCTAGTCCTACACCAAACTGATTGTATACAATAAAAAGTTTAAATGACAACACTTAGTGTCTTACATCAAATAATTTTATTGTCACAAAATTTGCCTATGTGATAGAGGCATATATTATTTCCTTTAAGGGAAAAGTACATTACTAGAACAGGAACATCAGGAATGTTCTAGAAACTGTACATCAGCAACAAACCAAGCATTTGGGATTCTACAAAATGAAGCATAGATGAGCACACTCCAACTGTTTCATCCCCTCTGCCGCTCACACAGGAAAAAAGAAGTCAAGTGTAATACACCTATACTGAGGAGTCAGAGCTTGCCTCCTAGCATAGACTTTCTGTAACATCTATAAATTACTTCCTCCTCTGTCCCAGTGTAAACAACTTGATCTTCAGTTCTATATAGCACACCTGATCCTCTGTCATGATTTAAATAATGGAGAATGAGCAATTGCTAGGATGGTTAGTCACAAAAGTAAACCACTTAAATTCCTGGAATGTATATGCAGATAACTGCAGAAATGTGAGGTGTTTGAGAGCTACTACTAAGTCATCTTTAATTTCTTTAAGGATTTTACCATCCAATCAGTGGCCGGGGGATGCAGAAAACTAACCAAACAATACTACACCATGTGTTTGAATTCCAGAAGCTGCCCTCATCAAACACATTCCAATACACATACAAAGAATACTGCAGGATATTATTTATCTCCAAACCACAACAAAATAAAAGGTACACTGGGTTCCCTATTCAAATAACAATGTGACTGGAGAGATGGCTCAGAGGTTAACAGCACCAGTTGCTCTTGTAGAGGACCCCGGTTCAATTCCCAGTACATGGGAACTACATGGGCATGACAGGACACGGGTGCACTTACACACATGCAGTCAATGCCTTCATACACATAAAATAAAAATAATAATTAAAAATACCTTAAATAACAGCTTGTAAACGTGATGGTATCTTGTGTTTGCATTTATACTTGTTCTAAAACATGAGGAGTTGCATAAAGCAGCCAAGGAGCTTTTTATGCAGTCAGTCGGTTCAGTGTTCAGCTTCTTCAGGTTTCACGGATTATAAAGTCTTTTAGGACTGAAGATATTCCTTATAAGTCATCCTTTAACATCTATAGCTTCAAAGGTAGATGCAATTTCAGTAATAACATGCCACATTTAGGGCTCTATTAGGCATAATTCTGGTTGTCTTTGATTTATTCATCAATGTGAGGAATCAGAAATTTTCTAAAGTACGATTTACAAAAAAATTCAAGTGGTCTTTTGCATCAAACCATTTGCTCCACATGATTGCAGAGACCCATTTTGCACTGAAGATTCCTTTTTTTAAAATTAAATTTCTCATTCAGCCAATTGAACTCTGGAAAGCATTCATTTCTGATAAAGCATAGCATTGTTAATAGAGTAGTAAAATAATTATAATCTAATTCGGATTCCTATTCAATAGCATCTTTAGGAACCCTTGTATATTTAACACACTGTGAATGCACACTAATTTGTTCATAACCAAAGAAAAGCTTGTAGTTAGTACTCACGTAGGTTTAATTGTATGGGCATGTTTTTCATGGATAAAGGCACCAGCAAGACCTCCAGCCCCTGAATTTAAATACTGGATTGAAAACAAATGAAATTATATTATATGTGTTTACATGAATATACAAAAACGATATTTTTACTTGATTTTTAAAAAAAATGGACCGATAACTTTTGATCAGTTCAAAATTTATGATTATTTGAACTTTTTTGACAAAACAGAATATTGGGTTGCCTTTTTAAAAGAAAAACAAATGGAAGATACTATTATTTTGAAAATTTGTGGCTATATTATTTTTTGCCAAATTTTACCCATTATTGAGGCAGAAGAATAGAGCAAAGTAAGGTCTGGAGAGCCTTTCACAGACCCTAAAATTAGCTGACCTGCACTTCCCACTCCCCCCTTCCTGGCCAACTAAACCAACCAAATGCCTGTGCAGACACAGATGCAAGAGGCCCTGCTAGAGTATGACTCAGTATAAGGCTAAAAGGCACACTCCTGGGTGGCTGGAAGTAAGATGCTAAAAGGACATGCATGTAATGCGTGAAGATGTGTGTAGAAATACATTTAACACAGAGCACTCGTGGAAAGTTGGAAAATGACCCCAAATCCCCAGCTCCTTGTACAACAGGGTTATTCAAGCTGCCAAACTCTGTTGTGACAAAAATCACTACCTTGTAAATGCACCGCCTTCTAATAAACTGTCCCCACCTCCGCTCTCCAGTACCTTCTTCTAGGACATAAGGATCAGGAATCTCCAGAGATGCCCCCTGAATCCCCAATATCACTAGTAGGTTAAACTGCCAACTAACAGGTTTCAAAGCTTTTATTCAATGCTGTGTCAAATATAATTATCTTCAAACACAAATACTAACTTCATTGACCAAGAATTACATTTATATATGCAGAAATTTCATAACTTAGTTTTCAGATGCAAAAAACTAAAGACCCTAATCAATACGAATAAGCTCAAATGTGGAACCTTTTCTTTATAATTGAGTTTTTCATAATAACTGAGGAATTTAAGGGATAAATTCTCCATAATTGTGAAAATACTAGAATTAAATTATTTATGTTACTCTATTATATGACTTCACTACATCCCAAATCAGAAAACACAATAATGACAAAAGCAGGAGACTTGACTCATATATCCAGCTTTTTAAAAGATTAATGTCTATGTGAAGTAAAAATGATGCAGTATAAAAACTAGTTTGTACCTTGTAGGAACACCAGCAGGCAAAGTCAACTCCCCAGTCATGTAAGTGGAGTTCAACATTTCCAACTGCATGTGCTAGATCAAAGCCAACAAAACAACCCTGTGGACAGATCAGAACAAGTCTTCAATTTGATTAATGATTGGAAACAGTAAATAAAAATATCGATAAGAAGGTCATTGGCAAAATAACATGCCATAATGATTCACTCTGAGACTCTAGCTCACAATGTGTGATCCACAAATCACAGCACCCTTTTGAAGGTCTGCCAGATCAAAACACTTTTCTTAAAACAGCCATTATTTACCTCCTCATTATGCGGACATTTGAACTGTAATGCAAAAGTAATGCGAGTCATAAAAACTATGGGAGAAACAAAGGCAGTGCCACACTGAACTGCTGCTTTGCAAGGAATCTAGTCCTTCCTGCTGCGGAAGATGGGGGTGGGGGCAAAACATTTTTTTTTGTTGTTGTTCAAACTGTAAAATGGACAGCTTTTAAAATATTCTTTAAAAAATTAATATAGGAAGCACAAATAAAACAATTAACATTCTGGAATAAAATGATTTCTCAAAGTAATAAAGTTGTGCAATTATTTGATTCACAAACTGAGCTAACCAGTTTTGCATTACAGAACATCTGATAGACAATTATGGTTCACACTTAAGTATTTGATTGACATTCTTCTACAAATAAATTTGGTAAGTGTCTCTTTAAGGAAACAGCTCATAATATTTGCTCCCAAAGACACAATTAGAGTTTCTACGACAGGCAAAATTTTGAAAAATTTGTAGCCACTTCCAAGGAGTATGACAGTTCCTATAATTATTTCTGACAAGGTAAATAATAATATGCAATTGTAAATAACATCTTACAATTAAATCATCTAGTATTTGAAAAATGTACAGAATTCAATAGCAATATTTTCCAAGTAACCAGTGCATGGCATTGCACAGCATGCATAGATCTATTCTAAATGTAAGCTTACTAAGCTAAATGGTTATAAGATTGGCTGAAGCTCTCTCCAACCCTCAGGCCTCTGTTTCAGGGTTGATCTTGCCCTCCATGCCTTGATTCCTCCAGCCTCACTCACCCTCCCATCTCTCCCACCAGTCTCTCCTCCTAGCCTGGGCCCTGTCCCATTCTTTGTCTAGGTGCCCCAGACACCTGGGGAACCACCACTGCTTCTTCCTGATCCTGTGCATCCAGACCAACTCAGTTCCTTAGCAGGTCCCCAGGGGAATTGTGGCCCTGGCCCCAACCTCACTTCCCTATGCTTCTCTGGGTCTGCACAATCAGCTAGAATCTTTCCTGGACTCTGGGGCTGACATTTCCTCTTCCTGGTCTTTTGCATCCAGACAAACCCAGCTCCTCAGTGCAGTCCCCAGGGGCACTTGGAGCTGACTCCCACCCCCATCTTCCTTTGCACCTCTGGGTGGCACTTTGACCATCTGCCCTAGACCAGCATCTTTCCTGGGCCTGGCTCCCAGTCCACTCCAACCCCCAAATTAATGAGGCCAAAATCTATACTGGAGAGATCCAGACCTTAGGAGAAAGACTGAGAGCATCTCATCCTCATCTGACTTGGGCCTCTGTGGGAACTCCTGAAGACAAAAGCAGTCTGGCCACTCCAATATAAAATCAAGAGAGAACTGGAAGCCTAGAGGAACCAGTCTTTCATGCCCCAAAATTAAACCACAAAGACAAATAAAGTTCAGAAAAAGAAGAGACCAAAACTTGAAGGCTTGAATCTCACACAAGAATCAGAAACGACAAGAGAAATTCACATGTCAAAATCACAGAGAAAAAATAACATGAAAAACCAAAATGCCATATTGCCACCAAATACCAATAGACCTCTAGAGAAGTAAAATGAGAACCCCTAGAGATAATGCAGGACATGGAACTCAAAAGAACAATTATAAACATGATAAAAGAATTTAGTGAATATAAAGAACACACAAAGAAATCAAAGAACTGAAGGAAGATAGGGATAAATTTCCTCAGTAAGCCAATTAGGAACGACAGGAGAAAGCCTCACCAATAGGATGAATGACATGGAAAACAGAGAATCAAGACCTGAAGATAAAGTGGACAAACTAGACAACTCAAGCAAAGATTATGAAAAATTTTAGAAATCACAAGAATGGAATATGCCTCAAGCAAAGATTATGAAACATTTTAGAAAACATAAGAATGGAATATGCAGGAATTGAATGATACCATAAAAAGACCAAACTTGCAAATCATAGGCATACAAGAAGGAGAAGAATCCCAAGACAATGGCATGGACCAGAT